TGTAAATCTCATCCTAAAATCTTTACAGGATTTTTTTTAACATTCAACCTCTGTTAAATTGAAGCCTTTTGTTTTAAATACATAATTAAATCTATGCTTAATGCACTTTTTCTTCTAATACTGAGTTGCTGTATACACCATTCCTAGCCAAATTCTAATTTATGTCTTAAACCTTATGAGTATGAGTTTAAAGTTGGCCTTAACATTTACACAATCCTCAGTGAAGATTTTCAATGCAAATCCTATGGGTCTGTCTATCCTTCATATAGATTTTTGTGGCTTTTGATTTTTCTCCAGTATTTTTGAAGCTTATTCAGCAGCTAGAGAGTATAGCATTTTAAATAGAGCATTTAAAAACACTGCATTCAAGTACCTCTCTCAAACATACATTTGCGAAAAACTGTATTTTCAATTTAGTGTTGACCCAGGGGATTATTGCTAGATTAAGAATTTTCTCTTTTACCTCAAAAATAATTACTGCTTTGACTATGTCACTACAGTTTGAAATAACATTTACTTCCCAGTGCTTTCGGCATATCTGAAGAGAACAGAAATTGCCCATAGTAGAATTATTATTATTTTAGCATTTTTCTCTCTTTAGGGTACATTGCATTTTTTCTTTTTTACATTTGATTGTTATCTCTGCATGTTATAGTAATCATTTATCCAGTTTAATAAAAATTGATTTTTGCTCTTCTTTTTTAACCTTTATTTAAGTGTTAACTACTTTACTCATGAAGTGTCTGTTAGACAAATGTTCCTACTTTCGGTTATTTATTGATGATTATATTGCTTGGGTGGTTTGTACTTCCTCTTTCTGTTCCTCCAATTGAAAGATTATGTTGCTAACCTGGAGGATTAGATTAAACAGCCACTATGGTCAAGAGCCAACAAAAAGCTTAAGCACATTATAATTTTAAAGCTGTTTGAGTCACCGGTCACAGTGAAAAGCAGCTTTAACAAGATTGGGAGTTTGGCATGGTGCCTCCAAGCAGGAAAGTAGAGCTTCCTGCTTATGTCTTATAACCTACCTTCCAATCTGATCTTTTCTTCCTGTTTTGAGGGAAGTACAAATGTAAATAAACTAAAATAATAACAACAATCACCTTGGAAGGTTTTGGAGATTTTATAGCATGGTAATAGCTTCTTCTACAGAGGAAAAAAAAAAAAGTAATATGAAAAATCATCTAATGGATATGATCAAGACGGGTGATTGGAGAAGAGGCAAGAAAGGGCAAATATCCTCAGGAATGAACCTCAAGTGGTAAAGAGACTATAAGTGGCAGAAAATCTACTTATTGTACCTTTCAAGTGTCATTTGGTTTAATATACTTACTTTTTTTAACTGAACTTTTATTTTTAAAAAGTAGAAATATTGATGTTGTGTAATATTGCATGCAATATTTTCTTTGCTTGTTTTTATACTACTGTTTTGTTTAGATTTCTTCTGAGTCGGAGAAAAATGAAAATATCTCTCATTCTTTTTATTGTTAAAATCACCATAGCAATTTTTTTGAATAAACATAGAAAGTTTTGAACTGTTTTTTGAAAGTGTTTTTTAATTGTACTATACTGTAGTATATAGTACAGTATTTGCTTAAATTATTCTATTAAAAAGTAGAGAAAATATATGAAAATTCATTATTCTAATCAATAATTTTGAATGTTTTTTTAATTAATTGTATTTTATTAATCTGCAGCACAATCAGTATAAACTATAGTCTACATTTATAGGCTGCCCAGAGAGGTTGTGGAGTCTCCTTCTCTGGACATCTTCAAAACACACCTGGATGCCACCCTGTGCCACGTTCTCTAGCTGTCCCTGATGGAGTAGGGACCTGGACTAGATGATCTCTAGAGGTCCCTTCCAACCTTAACCATTCTGTGATTCTGTGACTCTTGGATACATGTGTTTAAAATAGAAAACAATTTTAAGTGGATTTTTGTTGATAAGGATTCATTTCATTTGGGATAAAATTTATTGAATATATAAATTCTACCTCTCACAAACCTGCTGAATTTACAAATTCCACAAATACTGATCATGCATCCTCCCTAAGCAGGTTCTTTATATTTTCCTAAGAATATAAAGTAAATACTGTCTAGCCTACTTTGTCTAAAATGTAGCTAGAGAAAGCACTCTGCTGTTTACGAAAAATGGAAAATTTTTGGTGGAAAGGCAAAGATGATGGCAAACTTGTCTTCGGTGACCACAAAATGACAAAGTTTCAGATGGCAGATCTTGAAAAGAGTTAGTAAAATGAACGTAGAATAAAAACCTTGCATGTCAGAAGTAACTGAGCTAAAATGCAAAAATGTAAGTACACAGTTAGATGCAGGTATAGGCTATCTGGTGGAAATACAGGGACTTTGCCCAAACATGTAGAAAATAAAATAAGAAAGCCAAAGTTCAGATGCAAATGAATCTAGAAATGGATGTAAAGGGAAAGAAGAGTTTCTATGCTTGTACTGTCAGCTAAAGGAAGACTCAGGAAAACTTTTTTCTAGTGATCAGTGAAGCAGGGACCTAGTGACAAAGGCAAAGCAACTGAATGCCTTCTGTGCCTCAGCCATTTTCTAGCAAGGTCTGCTTTTAGGCTTCACAGGTCCCTGTGCCTGGGAGGAGAAAGATCTGATGAACTAAAGATTGGTCAGCCAGGCCTAAGAGTCCAAGAAGGTTATGGAGCAAATCTTTCTAGAAGTCTGGTCATTGAGGACTGTGAGGTTGATTGATAGAAAATTGGAATAGAGAAGCTGTGGAACCTCTTAGCATACAGATATTTAAAACCTGAGCACCTGATCTAGTCTTGGAAATGAATCTAATTTGTAGTGGATTTTAGTTTTGTCAAGGACAGTTGAATCAGTCTCCAGAATATCTTTTTCAACAAAAAATGTATTCTAGGATTAAACAAACAAGATTAAACCAGAAGTTTTTCTTTTTCTTCTGCCCAGCGACACCTGTCTAACAAAACAAATATTGTAAAGAAATGAACACTATTCACTGCATTTTGTCTTTTTAGACAAATTTTCTGTCTATTCAAAACAGTCTTTACAATTCTACATCATTCTGATCTACATCAGCTTTGTTGCCAGTTCTTTGAGATTTGATCCTTTGACTGCAGATCACAGAGAAGTAAAATATCAAATGGAAAGATATCTGAAGGTTTATTACAAAATCTAAATAAGATTTTGGTTATTATTTCATGGTCAATCTTCTCCTTATTAAGGTATTTTCCAGCTCCAGAATGATTTAGATATGCTGTAGAATTGAAATGACAAATGTGAAATTAAATTTACTACTGGCAGGCTGTAATACAAATATGAACAGCTGTCTTGAAAATTGCAGACATTTTTCCCTTTTCCAAACTGCGCAGTCTACCAAAATATTTATACCAGTAAAAATGTAGTGGTTCGTTTTAAACAATCCATATTAAATAGGGCAAATAACATCAAATGTGTAATATTTGTATGAATCCAATACGCATTTTTGCAGTCCAGTTTAAGGATGTAAACTCAGGCTTTGCAATGACATTTTGTTTTCACCTCATTTGTGTTTGAGGACAAAAGACTGGAGCACAGGAGTAGTTAGTTGTCGAATTGTTGGGTAGAAAATATTAGGAACTTTGCTGTCTTCTGAGAATCAAAGTTTTATCAAGGCAAAGAGGGAAGAGTGAAAGCTCTTAGAAGACACGAGAGTAGGAACAGATCAAAAAAGGCCAAAGGAAGAGGAGGAATTTTCCTGTCTTTATTGCAGCTACAAACCTAAAACTAAGCAGACTTTACGCTTCTGACTCATGTGTTCTGCAAAATTATCTAGGTCCATCTTGATGTCGTTGCTTGTTAAGTGGAGGTATTTTCTCATTTACCATGACTATGGGATAATTTAAACAGTTTGATAATATTTCTTTGCCTATTTTTACTTTTTCATATTTTAACAATTGTTTTAACTTCTCAGTCTTGCAGGTTCCATTAATACTTTTCTTATTATGACAGTTGGAATATCTAATATGCAACCCTTCTGCACAACAGCAAAAAGAGTAATCTCTGTGCCTGTCTTCACTTGGGGGCAGGAAGAACTTTGCGAGGTAAAAGCTGCAAAGATGACCTTACAGTACCCCTCTTCACCAGAAAGCTGGGTTATGAATACAGAAGTACTCTGGCTGTGTTTAGGCTTTCCTGCTGGGACAAACACTGGCTTTTCGTGGATGAAGTGCCTCAGCAAAGAAAGCAGTACTCTGAAGAGAACAAGCCTTTCTCACACAGTTCGAATGCACAAGGGCTTGTTCTCTAACCTGGGACTCAAAAGAACTCTGTGGCACTAGGCAAAAGAACTCTAGGACTCTCTAGGACTGGATTTTCGCTTACATCCATTAAGTCAGAGGCTACAATTAAGGTCTCAACAAAATCTCAACAAAAAACAGGATTTTGAACTCTAATCAAAATGCTTCTATGCTTCTCTGTATACTCACTGCTTTAATACTATATCACCTCATCGAATTTTACAAATGCAAAGGCCATTGTATTTTTTAGAATCGCTGTTACCTTTAAAAGTAATTAAGATTTTTTTCAGTTCATTAAAAATAATTGTTCATGGGAAGTGAATGTTTTTTTTTGCTCTAAGTGTGAGATCTTTGTAATATCACTTTTCTGAGAGACCCTTAGGAGAGACTCTTCAGCATGACATGATCATGAGCTAAAAATGATGCTGTGCTCACAGTAGCTGTACAGCATCCTCTTTTAGAAAAAACACTTTGTTCACAGATTGCACACACACAGTAGAAAGTTTATTAGTTGAGTGCTACCTAAACTGTTCAAATCTGTATATAATACCCACAAAAAATAGTTCAAAGACCCCTCCTTAGGTGGATGCAGCTAGTTACTTTTGTGGCTTACAGAAAGTGAGAAGCAGACATAAGGGACCACAGAAAGTAAAGTTTAAGAAATAAGAAGATGCAAGACATTTATTGTCACAGTTTCAATACCATATGTTTGTGTCCTACCTGTGTGCGGGTATCTTGCGATTCCCTGCAATCAGGATAACGTCGCAGAGCTGCTGTTGCTTCAGGTAGCTCTCCATCTTCCTGAAGGTTTGCTCAGCATGGTGAACAGCCTGATAGAACTCCTCAGAGCTACTCGAATCCATGCCACATGGAGGTGATAAGGCTGCTGACAGTCTGCAAAAGACAAAAGAAATGCTGCGTTGATACCATGTGACCCCTTTTCACCTTTTTGCACACTTTAGAGGAAAATTGTTTTACAGAATTAAGCAAACTATTCAGTTACTTCTATAACTGTTTCATCGTATGCATAAACAAAGTAATAATAGAAAAAGCAATCCTTTCTTCCACTGCTTCTAAGAGTGTTTACTCAAGTTCATTTCAAAATTCACATCCATTTTGTACCACTTGAGAAAAAAAAAAACAAAACTAATCAACTTAACTGGTAATGAACTGGGAAAATTTCTGCAATAATAAATTAGACTTGCATTTTAATCAAAACTAATTAATGCAAAAAGAGTTTGGTCTCCTATGATGCCTACATTTTTAATAATCAGAAAAAAAATGGTAGGAGAATACTTTTTTTCTCATTATACAGCCATATTTTCTTAGTTCAAACTTATTTGGTGCAGCACTTTTGGTTCAAAACCTTTACTAAAATAAGGAACTGATTCAGCAAGCAACTAGCCCTCGAGAAAATCATATGCTTCCAAATACTCTATGACACAGAAAATACTCTCTTCTTTTACAAATATGTAACGATATTGTTTCAAATGAAAGATTTATTTTTCGCATGTATTTTGGTGCTGAAAATGAAGTATTTCATATATGATCATATCATTTCCCTCAATGAGTATATACATAATATATACAAATTATCTTATTAAACCAATAGAAGGTCATCGAAGTACCAGAGGATGTATTTTAAGGCCAGCGTATTGAATGACATTATCAAATAATTTAAATCAGTTTATGTGTATTCTAAGAGAAATATTAAAGAGAGTAGAGGAAAATTTGGTAATTTACAATAAATAAATAAAGCACTAGTTTCATTATATATGCTTTAAAATCACTGGGAATCATATTTGATATTCACTGGGAACTTTAGTGATATTAACAGATATGTAAAATAATATAATCTGCATTTCTGGTGCTGGAAACATTTGAAAAGGGCATAAAGATAATTAAAAATCAGCTATTAAAATTAAATACTCATATATTAAAAAAAAGTATTTATTGTTTGCTTCTGTCTTATCTAGACTCTAATATTGTTAAAAGGAAGCATTGCTACAGACCAACAATATATTTTTGGGTTAATTTTGTCCAAAGTTGTTCCAAGGACTCTGCTGCAATCATTGGAGGAGAGTCACCACAGGAAAGGAGGAAAGGCTGGCCCGGCTCCCTGCCACAGTCATTCCTATCTTTCTTAGAGCTCCTTTGAAGTGATGGTCTGCCAGTGGATGCCAGGTTGTAGGCCTGCATAACTGAGGATGGCCTGCAGGTATTTTTTAAAAGGAAACTCCTTCTTGCAAATTAGCACCTGTATATGGCACAGTATGGATTAAGGAGGGGAGGGGGTAGAAAGGTAGCAGAGTCGAATCTCTGTAAAATTATGACCTACATTAAATTCACTTGAATAGGATTAAACAAGATTCTGGGAAGTCATTAAATTATTAAGTATGGCAATTTCTATGATAGTAATGTTATAATATGTTTTAGCCTGAACCACTTATACTGGGTAGAAACTGAGACACTATAGCAAATTGGATTGACGAAACTTTACAAACCATAGTTCCACCACAGAAACATTTATTATTCAGGAGTTTAGAAAGCCATACTTTCTTCATTCTGTTACACTTTTTTTTAAAATTCAATTTAGTTTACACTGAATATCTCAAAAATTATTCTAAAGGTATAAAATAAACATATTTATGCTTCAGGGGACAGATGAGTGTACTTTCCTTTATGGTCTGTCAATCATGTTGAACAGAAATCCATGCTTGCTTTCATATATTTCTGAATTTTCAAGAAAGAGCAGCTCACTGTATGGACAGTGGGTAGGGATTTCATCTTGTCTCTCTCCCTCTTTTTTTAAAAAAAAACCTCTGTTTTATTGTAGGCCCGCAGAGACTTCAGTTCTTCCCTTTTATTGCTGAAGAATTAGAATGACAAGCAATATACAGGCTACAAAGAAGTGCCTAATAAACAAGTATGGTAGGGAAAAACAGACATATTTTTTCACTTCTTCTATGGAATTTAGAATTGATGACAGCAGCAATTCAGAGGTATATGACAGGAAAGAGCAGGTCTAAATAGGGTCATATTGTTTGCTACATTAGAATTTAGTGTTTAGACTCTAAGCCAGTTTATATTTAACCAGATAAGATACTAAACATGTCTCTTCTTGATTATTCAAAACATACTGCTCTCTTTAGGTCAAAGAAAGTGGAAATGCTCTGACTATATTTATACTTGTTTTATACACCTGAGGTGAGCCTAGGTTATTTTGTTCTTGAACCACTACAGACTATATTTGCCACAATTTCTGTTCTCTTTCATGCTTGCCATTTATAAACAATGCTTTCCACCCTCAGACTTATCCATATATCTTACAGTTAACAAATGCCTACTGGAAAATCAAACCCTGAAGGCTCAGCATATAATCCTGAAAAATGGCAAGTATTCAGCTTTTTTTTTTTTTTTTTTTACATTTTATTTCATTTATGAGCAAGTGGAGATAGAAAGTCTGCTTCTTATCCTTTTCAGAAGCAATACCCTTTACATTTTTTCTGTTTACGCAATACTTCAAATTCACCCAGCAGCTTGTTAATACAGGAATTAGTTAAAAAGCTTCAAACAGCAAATAACAGTTATTTTGTACCATCTTACTAAATGCATTTATAAATAACTATGAAAAATTAAAAAAAAAAAAAGAGTTTGCATTTTTGTTGTTGTTTTAATGCAAGCAACTGTGGAAGAATTGCTTGAAAGGGGCAACTTAGAGAAAGACTAGGGCCTAACAGAAGTTCTGACATTGCAGAGCATGCTTGGGGTGATACACAGTTGCCACTTCCAGGATGGTTGGTAGGCACGGACTCAGCTCCTCCACGGTTCCCTGGGCAGCACAATCTGCCCTCTTCGCAGCTGCAAAGGGGAGTAACGGAGGATGGAGCGGGGTGAAGGCACCGCGGCCAAACTCTGTTGCACTCCCTGTGCTGGGCTGCTGATAAGCCGCACAGTGGCTGTCTAATGAGAGATATACGATAACATGTCCAGGGCTGAGCCAGTAAAGGTGGCAAATCACTCCTTTCAGATGAACTTTGGTTGAACTTTGCTCATTATAATGTCAAAACACACCTCCATCCCAAAAATTACCTGCCTCCGAGGTACGACCACTCCTCACTGAGCATGCGCTCTAGATTTTTGATTTACTGTACCTTTAAATGAAAGCGAGAAACTTTTTCACTAATCAATAACAATATTAAGTATGACTCTAGTCACTCAAGCTCCACCTGAATGTAAAGAAAAGTATAAAAGGTGAACTAAGGATGAAAACTGGGAAGGAAGAAACCATCGTAACTCTTGGGTCAGTCAACAGGCTGAGCCCCCTTCCCTCCCCTTGGACTGGAACGCCGCCTGAGGAGACTCAAGACTGAGAGCCCTCTCCCATCTTCTGGGGTGAGTGATGATTGCACATTTGTACATCAAAGCTAGCTAAAAAACCTATTCTCAAGTAGAGAATTTCCTGTACTGACACCCGAAACCTGCTTTGTAAATGTTGCATTTGAATAAATCATACTGTTTGTGAACTCGAGTACTTGTTTGGAGGTGTGTTTGGACCTCCAGTTGACAGACTGTTCATGAATCCAATACTGCCAGAGTCGAGCTTATAGTTGATCACACTATTTGGGAACTCAATTCACTCCTAGGAAGGCGATCAGACCTACAGTCTACAGGCTGTTGGTGAATCCGATACTGCCTGAGTTGGCCATATAGCTAACAGAGCATTTGATATCTCCTTCCCCCGCCACCACCACGGCTTTCAAACTGCAACATTTTGCAGCAACCTGAGCTCATATCCAGCGAGACACTTATAAGTATATAATATATATTTTTATATATATTATATATTTATATATTTTATATATATTATATATATATATATCAAGGTTCCCTAAATCAATCTTTCAAAACTTGGTTTTTATACCTTGTTTTTTGTACCTTCATGCCTCAAAAATAGATAAACTACTCTGTAACCAGTGAACAGGACAGACTCCAGATGGGCTTCATCTATAATCTCTCTTAGTTGTCAAGAGCAAAACCTAAACTTATTGTGGGAATATCAATTGTTCGGGAATTGTTCACTCTAGAATACTTTCTATGTCTAAACAATTTGGTTACTAGTAAAGACATAAGAAGACTAAACATTTTACAAGTTTATGACAATTCTGCTGAAGGGTGATACTATAAGGATGAGAATATTTAAAGGGCCACAAATACTATAATCTTTGGAAAAGATCAATAGATTTTTTTTTTAGTGAAATGGTAAAACAAATGAAGATCACATAAAATAAAAAAAATAAAAAGAAGAAGATGGAAAAGAAAAAAGAGAACACCGCAGAATAATCTTCATAAGTCTGGACCACATGCTCAGCATGCTGTCCTCAAAAAAGAAATGGTTAAAAAAACAGCCTGAAAGTGTTGATGAGGAAGTTCATCCTTCAAGCTTTATGGATGTTAAAGATTAAAAATGCAAGAAAAGCTTAACTCTGAGGATGTAGCACATCTGACCGTACAGTACTCTCCTTTTCTTTGAAAAAAAAAAATTCAAATAGAACATTAATGTCATCTGTAATCAGCTCTTAATTCTTTGAAAGAAAATGAGTGCAAACCAATGCTCCCTTAATCATGAATAAAATCTTAATATTTTTTTCTGATCTAAAAAGGCATCTCCCAAACAGGAGATGCTTCTCCAGTTATTCCAAATGTCAAGCTGTAGGACCAATGTCTCTTCTTATAGATGGGGAAATGGGTGTATTGGTTCTGTCCCACTCCAATTAAGTAGGAAGGAAAAGGCACTCTACCAAAACTCTCCTGGGATTGGCCATACTTAACAATCTTTTAGACCTTTGAGATTAGATTCAAGTAGGACACAGTTTAA